AGCTTATGATAATGAGGGAAATTAGATAAAGATTGGAAAATGGGTATTTAAAAAAACTAAAGTACTAACGTATTTTTAAATAAATAGATGTATTTCCTTTCAATATGTCATTACAATTATTTATTTCCCAATAAACATCAGCCTAAAAGACGGAAGGAAATTAAATGATGAACTTTTTCTAAATATAATTAAAATAAATCTTCTAAAGTATTTGTAAGTTATGCTTTAATTTGATTCTTTAAATTATCTAATATACAAAAGAAAAAGATCTAGTAAAAAAAAATAAGAGGAAGAGCATCAGGACATAAGGAAGATCCTGAAAAAAAAGAATCATAAGAAACTTTACAGTTATTATTTCATAAACTTGATCATTTAATTTTGAAAGTATTAGAATTTGTAATTCAATTAGGTTTTGTAAATTATATGAGTAATTACTGTTAAAATCTATGAAAAATATCAATCATTTGAGTTTCTATAAATGATGAAAATAATCACTTTATAATATTAAAAGCGTTTATTAATTATTAAAATCTCAAATAAAACTTAATTTTAGGCCTGAACTAAAAAGTTTCAATTTCTCTAATGTATTTCATATAAATAAGGGAAATAGAATGAAATCACTATACACTTATTTTAATAAGGACAAGATAATATTTTTTTTAAATTATATATTAAGAAACTATAACAGATTCAATTAAAAAATTATTTCTTTTAAATAGATCAATTCATCTTTTATTCAAACTCCTAATTATTATTTACTACTTCACTGATTTGATTATTTTCACAAATTTCTCTTATATCATTTTATTTAAAAGCGGTATTTTAATCCTGTTTTATATTTTGTATTCCAAAATATTATACTAACGAAGTTGTTGGCTTTGGAGAAGCGATCCTATCATTATGAGATATTTTTATTTATTATTGATTTGTTGGTTATTTATATATATCTAGTCACAAGATTCTTTTAAAGGAAATAGTTTCAATCCAATAATCTCATCTTTGTGTTATAAAATTTCTTAATCCTAAATATCATTAGTATTCTAAATCTCCTTTGATTTATAAAATTTTTCATTAAACAATATATTTGAATGCAGCCCATAATCTTATGTACTCTCTATTTACTATTAGTTGGTTTAAACTTTTAAATTTAATTTTTAAATTAGGATAGATTCTTATTTTAAATCTTGAAATTAATTGTTCTCAGTTAAATTAGTATTACAGATAATATTATTTTTAACTTTCATAAATTGATTAGCAAACCTGAGGTTACATAAAGTTTGTTCAAAATTATTTAACGCTGGACTAATTGTTATAATTAGAATTATTTTTGATTTTTACTTTAATGTCTCTTGCAAAATTCTAGTTAATTAAGAGTTTCTATATGGTGTAAAAATCTTTTTATCTTATTACTGTGATTATATTATTAATTTACAAATAATTTCTCCCAATGTTGATAACGATTTGGCAATTTAGGATTCTATTTTATATATAATTAAATAACTTGTGGATTAATATTCACTAGAATTATTAATTTAATAAAATTTTTCACACCAGGCAAGATCTACTAAATTTACCTTATTAAATTTCTCTATAAATTAATCATCTACAATTTTAGTTTCTTTTATCTCTATTTGAAAAATTTAATGTAGTAATGATAACCTAACAATAATCAAAATAATATTATTACCGAATACTCAACATTGTTTAAAATTTTTAAATGCAATTCACTCCTTTTTTCATATTTAATTCAAAATTTTCTATTGAATCAACTTATTCTTTAATTAAATTTTCAACCTAAACACCTTTGAGTGCATTTTCTCTTACTTTTAGTTTTTTAAAATCTGTTTAAGAAAGTTAATCATAAACACTTTCATTATAGATAAATAGCATACTAATGTAAACTTCATACTCTAGTATATTATAATAAGTTAGTAAATTACTTGTTTTAATTATCTAATTTTGAGATATTTAATTGATAACTTCTTTTACAAAATTATAAATCAATCCTTAATTGTCATTAGTTCCCAATAACGTATAAGATTTACCAGACTTAAAATATGCAATTAATACATACTCCTTATTATCCAAAAGCTAAAATGCAACAATTCTACCCTTAAAAAGGCTGATTTAATGGATCTTAACTAATAGTATTAAATATCATTTTTTAATCAAGATATCTTGAGTTTGGAAGAGGCTTATGATAACCTTTCTCATCAATTTCAAATTTATCATGAGACCAGAAAGAATAATCAAATTCAAATTCTTTTTATTAATTGTTATCTTAATTGATGACAATATCTACCAAATAGGATAGTTCTATTTCCATCCATAGCAATACACAATGGTAGGTTTTATTAAATTTCAAATTTATTGAATGGTCGAACTCTAGTAGCAATTTTGACAGACATATTGAATAAAATATAGAATTTATAATATATAAATAGTATTTTTCAAGCTAAAATTAATCATCATAAATCAATAGTATCTGCTCTAGTAAAGGCAGTATTATTTTTGGAATTAGATGATGAAATTAATAACCATAAGTTGAAACTAATTCTTTTAGGTTTTTAGAAAAAAATATATTACATACTTGAGAGATTTATACATTCAACTTATTCATAAGTTTAAGTATTAAAGAATCTAATGCATCTATCAGCAATATATTTTGGTTTTTCTTAACTTCATATGAGAGAGAAGGAGAGTTTAAATTTATTAAAGTTTGTATGCATATGATCTTTATTCTAATATAATAACTAGTTTCTAATTCATATTTAAAATTTTAGAGAGAAATTGAATATAATCTAGGAAAATTTATGAGAATGCTCAACTTAATAAATCATATTAAAATATTACTAAATCAATTATGAATTCATTTGAGAGATAACTTATATTATATCATTGATAATTTATCCTAAAAAATTCAATAATTCAACAAGTAATTTCCTTTCTCTCTAATAAAATAAATATCGCATTCTTTACATAATAAACCTAAATTTCCTGATTTTCACATCAAACAATCATCCTCCTTCACAAATAAGTATATTCTTATTTTTAAAATCCTCAAAATTTGAAAAATTATACTGTCACAAGAAGCATATAACTGAGGAAATTAATTTTAAAAGAAATAAATAATAGATCTTTATTTGTTATAAAATAATTATATTTCTTTATGAATGTTACAAATTAATTTTTAAATTGTTTTTACAATCCTAAATTTCATTTTATTATAGTTTAAAATTAACTAAGAAGATGAATGAGAGGAAAATTTTAACAACAAAGAAATATATATAAATTTAACAAAATCAACTAAATGCGCAATTTTCTAGTAATTAAAATTAAATCAATACTTTGAGAACAATGATAACATTATTTTTAGATAAAACTTTGTACTAATATTCTTGCTCTATTTATGAAATGTTCTTCAGGAGTACTCAAATGATTAAATTTTCAAATAATCAATTATAAGAATGTCTATAGTAATACAATTTTTGTAGGACATTGAATTGAGAGAATTGTATTATAAAGATCTATTAATATTGTATCTTGGCACCTAAAACTCTTAATCAAACAAAATTTATAAATCCATATTCTATATATTTTATATCAAGTTCTTATTGTTGAAATAATTTAAAATCAATATTAATTGTTAAATTCTGAAATGACATCTAATGATATAGATTTTTTGGAAAAATATCAACTTTAATCTCAAGATCAAGCTCTTTCAACATTAGTAAAAGGATCTCAAGAATATACATATTATACTCTCTTGAAATCTTTAAATGAATAAAATACCAAATTGAATGAGGAGTAGGAAACTCAATTAAAGAATCTTAAGTCATAGTCAGAGAATTTTTAAAATATAGAATTTAGATCTCTCATTTTAGAATTTGAAAGTCTGCTAAAAGAATCAGACATTAAAGAAAATTAGATCAAAAAACAAAAAATCATGTAAATTATTAATGATAAATTTTTACACCTATAATTCAACAAATAAATACCCAAAGAGAATCAATTTGAATTTAATTAAAATGAGTAGACAGAAGATTAAAGTGGCATTCGTTAATACAAATCAAAATTGGACCCAAAAAATGTCTCATTAAATACATATTTACAAAAATCGTATTAAAATCAAGATTTATATGGTTTTTCAGTTTACGCATTGAGATAATTAGAGTTTGAATAAATTATAAAATGTAATGACGAATGGATTTATAATTACTTATAAATTTTAACAAATTCAAGAGCTTTAGAAGGGTATCTCAACATATTATTTTAGATTGGACTTTATTATTCCATTATTTTAAAGACTATTAAAAGGATAGTTTTAATTAGAATTTATTTTCACATCTTTGAGCTTATAATAAATGGAAGAACTATAAAAAGTTTATGATGAATTAAAAAATAATTTGAGTTTCATCAAGATTTATTATAGCAAAAGATTTTCACCTAATTAGTTTTTCAAATAGGATCATAATATTTAAAACGAATATTTGTAAGAAATATATGAATGGCAAAAAACTCTACCTAAATAATTTTAGTTTTAAGAACTAATCTTGATCAATTAATTAAATTTAAGTATAATATATTTATTTATTATAGATGCTAAGTAGAGAAATTATGATTTCAATCTATTTATTTAATACCTTAAAAGACCTTTAAAGCATTTTTAAGGATTTAATGAAAATCTAAAGGATAGCTTAAAAAATAATTAATTGTTATTCAATCCAATATCTGTTCCTATCAACCATGATCAAATTATTTATTAAAATCTTGAATATTTTATAGAGAAGGATATAGAATTGACATAGTTAGAGAATTATTTTGAAGAACATTACTTGAAAAAAACAAAAGCTTTATTGTACCTGTAATAAGGAAAAGAAGTTCCTAATATCAATTAAATTTTAACAGAGAATGAAATCTAAAAATTATATAATGAAAAATATATTGAATTTGATGAATCAAACTAGATAAATAAATTCAAGCATGGAGAATAAGTAAAACTCATTTTTTCATTAAAAAACATCCCTTAATTATCAATTAAAGTGTTTTAGATAAACACTTTAAATTATTATTTACAGGAAGGTTCATAAAATTTTTTAAATCTTAATCTTAAAGGCTTGATTCCTAACAATGAGATTATTATTGATTTTTAGTAAGATTTTTCACCTACATTAAAAAAAGTGTAGGAAATAGAATTTCCAGAAATTACACAAAAAGAAAGAGGTTTATTTATTATTGATTTTTACGGTAATGGCATATCTTCAAGAGCATTGATTCAAAAAGGAAAGCTTTAACTAAGATAAAAGAAAATAGTCTCATCAGGTCATTGCTTCGAAATTTTGGATGAAAATTTATAGATTTGTTGCTCTGATAAAACAGGAATTTGGGTAGATAAATAATTTTATCCAATAGATAAGTAGAGAAAAGAAATATTAATTCCATTTGGAAGAACATAACAGGAGCAAAATGCTATAATATATCATGAAGGATTTTCAAATTTATAATCAATTAAAATTGAATAAGAATCATATCAATTTAAATGTACTGGAATAGTTGCTGAAGAATCTTTAATAATTGGAAATTAAGCAAAAATTTTATTATTTCCAAAACTCTTAGGAAATTAAAATGCAATTAGTTTGAAGCTGCTACAAAATATAACTATTTAAGCATAAATATTAAATGAAGAACTGAATCCAAATGTTTTTACTTTTGATAATGTAAAGTTTGAAGATCAAAAACCTTATGAAATTGATATTCCTATAATTAAGTTTTAGTTGATAAGCATTTAAATTACTTGTTAAATTAAAAGTATGACAAATAAAAATTAAATAATTGATTTAAAAGATTGTTATTCAATTATACAACAAGAAGCACTTGACACAGAATAATTTAATAATTAATATTTATAATACACTGAGAAGGAAGGTTATTCAATATATGTGTTAGGAATAGGAGGAGAACCCAAAAAAAATGTTAAACTAGAGTTGTCATTTTAAATTAATCATTATAAATCATATACTGAAATATTATAAACTGATGAAAATGGAAGAATTTATTTAGGAAATCTTGAGAATGTTGTATAACTTTCTTCAGAACCGATTGATTCTGAATCAATTAATATGAATGTTAGGAATTGGATGATTTCTTATTTAGATGTAGAAAACATTCCAAATAATTTAAGTGTTTTAGTTGGTTAAAAAATAACTCTCCCTCTATGTGTAGAGAGAGATAAAATTATCTTATACAAAATTTATGAAGGATAAGTAATTGAATATTTCTCATAATTGTTGGTTTTAGAAAAGAATTAATTGAGCTTTACTTTAACTGTACCTGGATAGTATGAGTTAATAATATTGGCTTATAAGGAATCTTAAATAGTGAAGATTGAAGTATTTGAAGGATAATAAAAATTAGATAGCAATATGTTTATAAGCAAGTAGAAATTAATTATAGATTAACAACTTAATAATTTAATATCAATTCATAGTGTTGAAAAAGTAGAGGGAATTTAAAGTACTAAGATTACTGGGCAAATAAGTTCAAATCGTCCAGCAACTCTTTTTGTAATATGTGAATCATTTTATACATAACCTTATTTGATTATATAGTAAATTAAGTAAATACTCTCACCTGCAAAAAAAGAAGAATTTCATGTCTTTTATACATAATTTTAATCATTAACAAATACAGAAATTTCAGATGAAGAACAATATGTAGAAAATAGAAAAAAATAAGAAACATTTATCGGTAATACTTTAGAAAAACCTTAACTTTTGCTCAAAAGATAATATATACAAGAATGTGTTAATGAAACAGAATAATTAAAAAATGAAAAATAATAATAAGCGTAAAAGAATATACTTCAATATTAAAATCAAAAAAAAAGTTATTGGCAAAGCGATGAATTACAAAATATGATGCCTCTTTTCTGTAAATTAGATTTTTTGAAGTAACCTGGAAAATTAATAATATTATAACCTAATCAGAGCTCAAAGGAACAAGAAGATTAAGAATTCTCTTTTGAGATTCCTAATTGCTATTCTCAAATTATGATTTTTGCTCTTAATGATTATAATTATGCTTTCTAAGAAATTTCATTAAATTCTTGTGGAATTAGCACAAGAAGTCTTGAGCATTAAACAATTCTTAAGAAAGATAAATGTTATACAACATCTAGAAATTCACAGGTGGTGAAAAAGGAGGAAAGTATTTACATTAATGATGTAACAGCTACAAAAATGAAAATAATAGATTCTTTAGAAAAAGTTTATAGAGAATTAATATCCCTAAATAAAAATGGAAAAAATCTGAGAGATAAAGATCTTTAAAATTGGGAGTTTTTAATATAATGGAATATAAAAACTTTAGAACAAAAACATTAAATTTATGATGAATTCTAAAGTGATGAATTAAATTTGTTTTTATATTTCAAAGACTCACCTTTCTTTGAAGTTTATGTACTAAACTACATAAAAAATAAAATTGAGAAGAATTTAATTGATCATTTTTTATGTTAAAATGATACAGAATTATAGAGATATCTATCTACTTACATTTTTAACAATTTGAATCTAATTGAATAAATCTTATTATTGATTTATTTTTAAGAAATAAAAAAAAATAAAATTCAAGCATAACAAATATATTCTTATATGTAATAAAATTATGATAAACTAACTGTTGATTAAGATTTGAATTAACGTTTATTTGATACAATTTTAACTTCATAAGAAGCTGAAGAATTAACTAATACTAACAATACTAATATAAACAATAATTAAATTGGTCTAAGTAAAATTGCAACAGGGTCGTTACTAAACCCACCACCACCTCCAAGTTTTAATCCTTTTGGAGAATCTTATTCAGGTGGAGCACCTCCACCACAACTACCTGGAGGCTATCCTCCATATACTCCTCCTTAACATTCAAGTGGATTTTCATTTAAACCAACTACTAGTACTTCAATTAATGATTTGAAAAGTAATATTGCTATGAGATTTACAAATTTAAATGAAGAAAAATGTTAAGAAAAATCTCTTTACAAGAAAAATCTTCAAAAATATAATTCTTATGAAGATGAAGAACATTATAATTAATAGAGAAATGTATATATTTAAAATTATAAAAATGTTGAAAAAACTAAAGAATATGGAGAAAGACATTCATACTATTATAAAGATCAAAAAATTCCAATTAAACTCAATAAATTCTTTTTGGAATTAGCCTAATTTTCATTGAATTAAGGAATTCTAAATACTTCCTCCTCTTTTATTTCACCTTAAATAATTCATTATACTACTTTTTCTGAATTTGTATTCATACTTACTGTTTTAGATTTACCATTCTAAAATTTAAAATAAAATTATTTTCCTTACTAAGAAAAGGGAATGTAAATTGTTGCTGAATCAAATCTAATTTATTATAGTAAAGATATTAAAGAAGTTGATATTGAATTAAGAAATGATATCCTTATTACATAATTATTCTTTGATGAATAAAATAAAAAATAAGAATTTTTAACATCTTAGGAATATTTAACTAATCACATTTATGGATCATTAATAATAGTTTCTAATTTCTCAAACATTAGCATAAATGCTTAAATTTTTATAGAAATACCTAATGGAGCAATTCCAGTTAAATCATTATTTTATTCAAAATCAATCAATATTTCATGTTAACCATTATCAACAGAAAGATATTCATATTATTGGTATTTTCCCAAAGAAGGTACATTCAATATTCATCCAGCTTGTTTAACTATTTTAGATAAAGTAGTTGCTGTGTCTAAACCTTAGTCATTTAATGTTGTTAATGTTAAAGGGAATCCTAACTTAGAAGTCATTGAAGATATATTACTCACAGGAGATAAGACTAGTATTTTAGCATTTTTAGAAACTAAGAATATCTTTGATGAAAAAGTGTTTAAATCAACTTAAATAGTGAATCTTTATGAAGACAGAGACTTTTATATGAAAGTATTGAAAATTTATAGAAATAAAAAATTTCAAGATGCTGAAATTCTTAAATTTGCAGTTTATCATGCAGACTTTGAAGGATTAAAAGAATTCTTTGCCTAAAGACATATTTTAGATTAATTTAATTCAATTAAATATTTTAAATGTTCCCTTTTTGAAATTAGCAATATGAAAATGGTAGAATATTATCCATTAATTACTAAAAGAGTTCATAAACTTAAAACTGATGAATAAGGAATTCTAAATATAGAATTAAGAAAATAATATAAAGATTATCTAATGTATTTAATAGAGAAACCAAATCATTCTGTTTCAGATAAATTAGGATTATCATATTATCTTTTATTATAAGAAAGAATCACAGAAGCAATATAAGTATTTAATTAAATTTAATTACCTTTAAATGAAGGTAATTCTGAATTGCAATATGATTACTTTTAGGCCTATTTTGATTTTTATGTTGGGTATCCTAACTTTCAAGATGCTAGAAGAATATGTGAAAAATATTTGAATTATTCAGTTATCTACTGGAGAAATCTGTTTTATGAAATTGCAAACTTATTGGCAGAATTTGATGGTGATGAAGATTAGAAAGAATTAGAAATATTAAATAATACTTTTAATTATTAATAGAAGTAATTAGCTACAAAAGAAGAAACCTTATCCTGTGATATTAAGGGAACAAAGTTAATAATTACATATTCAAATCTTTAACAAGTTACAATAATGTTTTATAAATTCAATTTAGAAGTTTTATTTTCTATTGATCCATTTCTCTTAAGCAAAAAGAAAGATTTTTCAATCACAACACCTAATCATGAATTTAATGTGACTTTAGATCATTAAAAGGAAGGAGAGTAATAATAATTATAAATATTATAGAATATATAAGCAAGAAATAGAAATTCCACAACATCTTTAAAGAGATAATCTTTACATTTAGATTAATGGTGTTAATAAGAAAGTTTTCTTAAATTATTAATCTAATGGATTAATTGTCAATATTATGGAAAATAGTGGTTAGTTAAGAGTCTTTGATTTAAATGGATTATAATTATCTAAAGTTTATGTTAAGGTATATGTTAAAGAAACTACTGGGAAAAGCTACTTTTATAAAGATGGTTACACTGATTTAAGAGGCAGATTTGATTATGCATTTTTAAATTCAGATGAAATCTTATAGGATAAAACTTTTGCTATTTTAATTTCAGATTAATAAAATGGTATTTTTATTATAAATTTCTAAGGTACTGTTGTTAAAGAAGTTTAAACTCCATCAACAATAGGAAAATATGAAGGTAATATCAAGCTTGTATCAAAATTATGGTAATAAAAGGCAGAGAATTAAAAGTAAAATCAAAATAATAAAATAAATGTTTGATCTTTATAATAAATAAAATGGTTAATAAATATATAAATATAATTACTTTCCTTTATTTATAAAGATTTTATACATATATTTGTTTTAGTAGAATCAATTAGACTCAAGAAAATTATTTAAATGATGCTAAATTTGGAGGCCACTTTGTTAGAGAGTGATAATTAATTCAATTAGTTATTAAAAGAAATTTTTATATTTTGTACTGATATTAGTATTTTAATTTTATCAGCTATTAATAGAAAATAAACTACTAACATGATTTGATTTTTTTGTTTGATAGAATAATATCTAAAAAAAAATATTTGAAGGTAGAAAATAGATATTTATGATACCGTTAAAATTACATCCAAGAAAACTATGGAAAAGAGCTCAAATATTAGTACAACATTACTTTTAAATTGTATCATGGTTAGCCAGTGAGCTTTGCAATATATAAAATTTCAACAAATAATATTGATAAATTATTTCTGTTAGTTAATCTTCAAAATGGAATTACATTGTCATCCGTTGTTGGATAGTAAATTTGTTTATGAGATATGAAAGCTAAAATATCAAATTTATTCTCATTCAAAATAATAATAGAATTCATTGATAAATCTAATATAAATCTAATGTTTCTAAACAAAACTTAAATGATGTATAAAAGTATATTTATTTTCTAATTTATTAATAATTATAGAGTTTAAATTAGATATTTATCAAATGATGGCAAAGTTGTACAAAGAGAAATTCATCAGCCAATTAATGAGTAGTAAATCAAAATGTACAGCAATTGCAATATCAAGTGATTATTCGTATTTGTTAGCTTATGGAACATGATAAAAGTTTGTTAATTGAAAAATAGAGATTCTGAAATAATTTAATATTATTTATGGAGACAAAACTAGAATTATATTTTTAGGATTTTATAAGATTTACTAATTAGAGTGGATGTAAAAGATTTTTGTCAATGAATTTGATTTAATCATAAATATAATTTTTTCTTAGTTAAGATAAGACAATTAAATTTGAACATAGAAAAATGGATGGTTATGTATTCAAATAATAAATGATCATGATGATGTTGCTTTTTAGTTTAAGTCTAAATGAAAAAGGGTTAAACTAAGTTTTTATAGTAAGCTTAAAAAGTCTATGTCACAATATGATAATAAACTGCAGATAGTATATTTAGTGATATTTTTTTCGCATTTTAATAATGGAGTGAAAACTTAATGAATATATATGAATTGGACAATACCTATAAGTAAAAAACTAAAATGCTATTGTTAATGAAGGAATATTTTGCAAGTGCTTATTTCATAATAATATATAAATCAAAATAATTGCTCCTTAAAAAGGATTGCTCCTACATAAGCTTAATTAAAAAGTGAGAAAAATAATGAATTTATGTAGGAATTATAAATTGACTTTTTATTAAAAGAAAACATTTATGGATAAATGAGTTAAGATACTTAATAACATGGGATCAAAAATCATCACTCATTTAAATAAGAAAATTCAAAATTTTATTTGAATATTATTTTTGTCGTTGAAATAATAATTATTTTAATAAAAAAAAAAGATTTCTCATAATTTATCTTTTGCATCTATCAAAGAGAATATTCAGCAATTAAAATTTTTGTAATTTAATTAATCCTCGAAACATTTCAAGAGATCATTTTCTTAGAATTTTTTTGAATAATTTGATAAATATACATAACTAGATTTTTTCATATAAATTCATAGTCTAATAGTCATTTAGATTAGATATACATATAAATAAAACAATTAAAAGTTACGATATAATATTAATCTAATTTATCATGATGATTACAGCTTATTCCCATAAAGAATTAGTGAAATTATACAAATACTTTGTGAGTTTAAATGCTTCAGAAACATTTTTTCTTTCAGAAGAATCTTATACTTCTTATTGTAAGAAATACAGTTCAAGATTATTCTCAAAATTTCAAAATGGTAAATTAAATATATTTCTCAATTAAAGAATAAATAACTACTAATTATAATACCTCTAGATAAATTAGAAATTAAAATTTTTATAGTTTATTCCTGGGATGTTTTAGAATTTAAAATGAATGAATCTCCACCTCATTATCAAGTTAGATCAAATAATATCCTTATTTTGGAATTTTAAATATCAAATATAGTGATAAAAGATTAATAAATTAATTTAATATGATTTAGGATTCTTAAATTATAAGACTTGAAAATGAGAATTAAGCGTGGGGTAATAAATATTAATTTATATGTGATAGAATCAAAATAACAATTTGAAGAAATAAATGAAGGAACAGAATATCTTATAGGAAATCCATATAGAACTAATTATAATGTTGATTATTTTGATGATGGAAATATTATGTATATTAAAGATGGAGGGATTATTAAAAGGTGATGTTGTTATAAACATTAATAGAGATAAAATATGTGATCAATCAAGGAATTCTGAAACGTACACTAATCTTGAGTAAATTAAACATTTATTTTGGGACGGGGAATATAATTAGAAAAATCAAAGAATCGGTAAGTGGAAAGCCTTTTGGAAAAATGAAATATTAAATGCAGGCGGAGAATTTGATGAAAATGGAAAGAAAGTAGGAAATTGGATTGAATTATTTGAAAACTTTTGTGAGTATTTTTATTATTTAAGATAGAATTGCTGAAGTCACAAATGTTGGTGATTATAAGGATGGGAAAAAAAGTGGAAAGTGGAACTTATTTTTTAAAGATAAATTAATGTAATTAACACTTTCTTATAATATTTAAGAGGTGGAGGAAATTATGATGAAAGCGGAAAAAAAACTGGATTGTGGATTGAATTACATACTAATTTTAATTGGTACGTTAAAGGAATTGTTTTATTATTATAGCTTATGCTAAGTAACGTATTTTGGAGAATATGAAAATGGGAGCAAATAAGGAAAATGGATTGCAAGATTCAAAAATCAAGAAATGTAAATTTAAATATAAAAATTAGTGGAGGAGGACAGTATAATGAGAAAGGAATTAAAATTGGAAAATGGATAGAAATAAGCAACAATTTTTAATAGTTATTCATAGATTTATCATTAGAGAATCTTAAATTCTAAATGTTGGAGAATACAATTAAGGAGTAAAATCTAGTAGATGGGATATATTATTTAGAGAAGCATAAACTGAAGAATTTACAAAAATGTATAGTTTATATTATTTTTTAAGAGGAGGAGGAATGTATAATGAAGAAGGATTTTAGGATGGAGAATGGATAGAATTACAAGAAAATTACTAAAAGTATTTGAAAATACTAATCTTTTAAGCGATTGCAAGATAATTTTAGTTGGAAAATACTCAAGTGGAAAGAAAATAGAAAGATGGAATGCTCTTTATTCAGATAATATTATGTAATAATTTAAGCCACATTAAATTAGAGCTGGAGGAGAATATAATTAAAATGGTTTGAAAACTGGTGAATGGATCGAACTAAATAACAATTTCTATAAGTATAATATTCCTTAATTTATTCATAGTTACAGTTAAACCATTTTTAAGGGTTAATATAATAATGGAAAAAAATAAGAAAGATGGGATGTATTTTGTAGATATGATCAAGAAAAATAATTTGAATAAATGTAATTAAATAAATGTTATAAAAAATAGAGGAGGAGGTAATTATGATTAAAATGGAATAAAAATTGGCTTATGGATTGAGCCTATAGATCATATTTGGAAGTATTTAAAATAAGAAATATCAACTTAGCTTGTCCTAAATAATTTAAAGAGGATAATATCAAAATAATTAAAAGAAATATGGAAAATGGGAAACTTTATATAAAGAAGAAAATTCACAGTAATTTTAAATCATGTAATTAGTCATTAATTATATTTAGAGCAGGTGGAAATTATGATGAGAAAGGTTTAAAAACTGGAGAATGGGCTGAGGTGGATTAGAGATTCTCTTAGTATCAAAATACTTTATTGTTAGTTCTTGCTAAGTCATTTAAAGAGGTTAATATTTTTAAGGAAAAAAGGTTGGAAGATGGAATTCACATTTCTGGGAGAAAATTATGTGATTAACATTTCTTATATTTAGAGGAGGAGGATTATATGATGACCATGGTTAAAAAAATGGATAATGGATTGATCTAGATGAAAATTTCTCATAGTAAATCTTATTATAAACTTATTAAAGTATTAGGTAATTAGTGTTTGTTGGTGATTACAAAAATGGATTTAGAATTGGCTAATTTAAAGAAAATAATTTATAATGAGATAAATTACAAATAATTAAATAAAGCTTATTATTAGGATTTTATTATTATAAAAATTATAGGGTTTTTTAAACACCAGTTTTTATTATTTTTAGTTTTCTAAATTTTATTAAGGAGAATTTATATAAAAAAACAAAGAGGTAACATTTTTGCTCTTTATTTAACTATTTGACTTGAAATTTATGAAAGTCATTAGTTTTACAAGTTAGAAATTTATTTTAATTAAGTAAAATTATACTAATAATAACTATTAAGATTAATTTATCGAAAGCTTTTATGTAATAACAAAATTTTAGGAGAGCATCCCTAAAAATTAAGAAATTTTTTCCTCAGCTTACAAATGCATGAGAAGACAATATATTTTAGAGTTCAAGTAGAGTATGAAAGTTATATTTAAAAAAAATAATGCTTATAAATTTTAGAAGATTAGTTGTGAAAATTTAGGTGAATGAAGGTTAGCTATAAAAAAAGAGTACGAATAAAATCATTAGATGAGATCCCATATTGAATAGTTTGACTGTACTCAAGCAAATACAGTTTCCTTATAGAATAAAGAACAAAAGGTATACTAAGATTTTAATTGATGGCTAATAAATATAATAATCTATAAGATATTTGTTGATCAACAGTTATCTTGTTGTTTTTTTTGGAAATGTTTTGTAAAAGTTCTCAAAGTTAATTGTAATTAATAAATAGCAAAGCAAAAAAATTATTTATTTAAGTAAGGAATTGATTATCAATTATTAAAATAAGTACATTTAAAAATTTTAAGAGCTATTTGTAAATGAGATAATTAAAAAGTTATAATACAAGAATAGGAAAAAATTTAATTAAAATTCACATTTTTACATAATAAAATACGATAAGAAAGAGCCAATCGTGTATTTTTAAGTTGCCTAGTTACAAAAGGTAAACTTGAAGAAAGAGGGGTGTGTAGGGATATTAAAAGACCAAGTGATGAATTTAATTGTGTTACTGGATATACAGAAGGGAGTTAAATATTTTTATATATTAAATGCATGTCAGAAGAGCATATCCATCATATGAAGTTGTTTATTATTGAAAAAACTAATATTTTTATCATAATGATTATGTCTATCTCTTGCGAAATTTATAAAATTTATAAATACTTTTATGTATTTTATTTACTACTTTTTTTATTAGAGACTAAATTTCTTTCACCTTTGAAAGTTTGTTAGATTAAAATAATTGATTGTTTATTTTATTGTAATTTTTTTTTAAACCTAATTTAAATTAAAAGAAAATCGATTACTTACTATCAACTTAACTATTTATTGTATTTTCTTTTATCCTCATAATTCAAAAATTCATCACTTAATTCAATCTAATTTCTACTCTCAACAGAAATAGTCTGCATTAAAATCATATAAAGACCATCATTTTTTTTTAACCAAATTAATACCTTTTTCATACATTTAATTAAAATATTTAACATCCACCTAATTCAAAAAAAATTCTTCCTTCCAAATTAGCAGTTATTTTTCCGCTTTTTATTACTTCTCATCATATTTTCCTAACCATTAAAGATATTTCGTTTATAAAAAATAATGCAAAACTTTAGATTTTTATAAAAATTATCTCTATTTCAGTAATTTTTTATTGTTCATTCTCATAATTTCTCCATTAAATTTTATTTGATTTCTTCTCTTTTTAAGAGAATTTAAAATTTCATCTTAAGTAATTTTTATCACTTTTCCCTCAATGAAGTTTTCAAATAAAAGGTTCTTTATATAATTTAAATTTATCCTTTCTGGTTGTGCTTTTTTTAATTAATTTATTTTATTTGAGAAAAATTTTAAGAAATCACTTGGTGATCAAATGTAAATAAAGTTGTTAATAAAGCATTTAACACCATGCTCTGTAAAAATTAAGTTTTCAATATATTTTTAAACTAATTTATGGAGTTCATCGAATTGAATTGATTCTAAATTAATCCTTTTCAAGTTATGTTTAAGTAATTTAACGCCTAAAATAAGATAAATTTGTACTTTTTTAACTTTATTTTCTCAATTAATTTGTTCAGTTTTTAACGGCATCAGCCCCTAAAATTACATTATTAAAACTAAATTTTTAAGTTAAAAATTAAAAAATATAATTTCTTTACAGTACAAAAATATTTCATTTGACAAGATTTCAAATATTTTCTATATTGAATTGAATGATTTAATTATATATCAAATATATTGAGTCTTAATTTATCATATCTATCCCCAATTAAAGAGTTTACTATAATTGAATAATCTAATTAATTTTAAGATCTAATTCTTAGTTCAAGCCATCCTTTGCAGTTGATAAATGTTTGCAATTCTATTAAAAACAATTAAGAATTCCAAGATAATTGTCTTACACATTGAATACACATATTTATTCTAGATTATCTAAATCATATGTTATTAAATTAAATGTTCAAAACCTTTTGTAATTGTAGTCCATAAAGCTAATTTTCTAAATCTAAATCGTGGAAACCTGTTTAATCAATTTTTCTTTTTGCTTTCTAAATCATATCATTCTTTTCATATAATTTTCATAGTTTTTGTAATTTTATGATTGCAATAGATTTAGTATCTTTATTCTAATATAAATTCTTTAAATATTTTCTTTTAAATAAGTCTTAAAATATTTTAGTAAGCATCCTTTATATATTATTGGATTGTTGATAATATAGAACTAAATAAAAGAATTAAGTTACTCTTTTGATATGTATTTTTCTTTCAAAGAGAGGATAGCTGAATTCTTCAAAATCTTAATTATCTATTTCATTTTGTTTAAATCCAAGAATCAATTTACTCAGTTTGAGCCAGGCAATCTCTTATCTCAATATTATTAAATATTATTTATCAATTTATGTGTCCCTTATTTTTAATTCTCTTAATGGACAAAAAACTCTTAATTTTGTTTCAATCGTTATCTAATTTTCAACTTTAAAAGAACCTTCATATCCTTTAAATCGTAATTTTTGAGTCCATTCATTTTTCTTTAGCATCAACCAATATTAGTTTTGAAAATACAAAAAATTCATCTAATTATTCTGCAATTGTTTTTGTAGAATTATTATGGAAATTCTATTCTAAAATAATTTCTGATAGATAATAAATAATAATTAAAAGGTTAACTTATATATTTAATATTATGATAATATTGCTTATGTGAAAGGGTATAAAAAGGAATTAAAACCAGCCTAATTAAAAGCAAATTTTAATGAAAAAGTGTTATAATAAATATTCCCTCAAATTCCAGTTGTCGACAATAAGGTCAACTAAATAAGACAAACTAAAGGTTAAAATACCAACTATGTAAATGATGAAATAGAGAGCAGAATGAAATATTATAAATCTAAATTATATAATACAAACAAGAAACCATATTAAAACTGAAATAGTAAAGTTCTCAATGAATAGTTTTACATTAATACAATATAAATAGTTAAAATTAAATAAAGATAATCTTTAGATATTCAAACTTTTAAATATCAATTCTAAAATCATTAAAGAATATAATATTTATTTTTCTTCTATTAAATTAAATTACTTTTTGTTCAATAAATGGGATTACATAAATTCCAGTATTTGTGAATATTGGAAGAATTTAACTAAATTGTTTAGCCAGAAAAATTTGTAATTATTTTAATATTTTTCTCTCATTGAAATTTCTTATTAATATTCTTCTATATTGGGTTAGATAATATTATTTTTAGAATTCAAAACTAATAATTAGATTTTAATCTTACAATACATACTAGATTGATAGTTATAATATCTCAGCCAATTAATTAGAATTAATTATACATTAATGTTGTAGTTATATTTTCATTCTCTAAACTGAAGATTAATATAAATGACCTCTATGTTTGCATTTGCTTCGATTAATATAATTTATGTAAAAATATAAAATTAATGTTTTAATTGAATGAAAAATAAGGTATAATCATTTAGATTTGTAATATTAAATGAATAATAATTATTTTTAATATGTTTTTTTTTTTAAATATGCATTAATACAATTTTAATTATGAGGAATTTTGTTGAAAATTCTAACAAAGCAATAGAAGGAACTCTTATTGGTCATTTATTTCTGATAGATGATCAAATAAGACTTTAAAAACTCTAATTCATTTATAAATATTAATATTGATCATTTTTAAAATAGAAAAGAATTTAAATCTTCTGTTATTATATGAGTAACTTATATATATCACAAAAAATTAACTATTTCATTCTTTTATCAATCTAGTATTAAATTAAATCAAGGTGATGATGATTTAAATAATTTTATTTCAATATAATATTTCATTTCACATAGATGTTTAGAGTTTGTAGAAAGCTTCTATTTTTATAATATGAAGTCCGCTATTATGTGTATTACCGTTAAGATTATATATTTTAAACTTTTTAGTGAGAAAATGTAATTGTGAGTAACAAAATTACTTTCATAAATTTATGTTACCAAATCGTTGTATACTAAATAAACTTTCATTCTATAAACTCTATTATCTTAATCCCCATAACCATAAAAGTGTTTAGTTCATATTATTGTAATAAGTAAAAATTATAGAGTTTCCAATATAACTATATGTAAATCTAAATCCTCTTGTTACTTAAAGCATAAATATTTTCAATAAATTATTTAATGTGATGAAAATTGTTTGGCACTAACAAATAAAATCAATCTTTCAAATTTAATTTGAAAGTATTAAAATAATCCATTTCTACACTTAAAAAATTAATTAATTGTTTTACAAATAAAAATTTGATCTCCCAGGTTATTTTATTTTGAATATATGAATAGAATAATTAGTGTTAGGATATAAAGATCTATACTTTATTTGCCCTTCATCATATTAAAATTTTCATATTCAAACAAAGCATTCAACGATGAATTCACAAAAAAGTCTTTCACATTTAAACAATATTCTAAGTTCTCTTGCTATAAAATAAGTATTATCTAAATTTTCTCTAGTTTTTTCTATTCATCTGAATAAACATATTGTATACACAGATGAAATTGTATTAGATAATAATATTTAGCTGTTTTGATTAATATGATATTTTAAATTTGATATTTAATGAAATTAAAATCTAATTAAACATTTATAATTCTAAACAATGAATAAAATAATGTTGAAAATGAGTCTTTGTCAATTTGAAATATATAAATTAGGTTTTGCTAATGTAACCTAGCATTATGGTGACACTAAAACAATTTATCAAGATTAAGCATAATTTTAGGAATAAAAATACTTTATTGGATAATAAATCCAAAGATTGATCAAGATAAATGAATAATATCAAATTTATCAACCAAAATAGGAGTCACTTAATTGTTGACTACATTTTAGTAAATATGCTTGATTTTTACAAAGAAAATGAATTTAAATTTTATCATGATATAGAATTCAAGGAGTTACTTTAATTTTGATGTAACCAAATTCTAAGTATACAAAGAATATATAATTAATTATTTAATTACTTTTTAATAAATAAATATAAAATTTTATTTGAAATTAAATTAATTATCAGAGTTTTGAAAATTGTTAAAACTAAGCAAGAGTAAATTAAGTCTTTCTTAATTCTCTAAGAATGTTTGAAAGGATCGAGATCTAAACTTCATGCAGCTGGAAAGAATTCTCTAGATTTACTTAGTTTATTTATCTGCCTCTAACAAATAGATTATGGACTATATAAAATATGTAATATATTTTATTCATAATACAGTTAATCACAAGGCCTTTAATTGAGAAAACATAAGAATAAGAAGAATTATAATACACGCAGAATTGAATAGATAAGATTTATTTGAAGATGCCTAAAACTAAGTAATTAAATATAAATTGAAACAAATAACAGTGTTGTTAGACATTAAAATAAATAGGAAAAAAAATTTAATTAGGAAGGGAATTTAGAATTATTTAGTGTATATAATATTGACGAATAATCATAATATATCAAATTAATATTGAAAAGCTTAAATTATTTGTTGAATTCAAGAAAATTTGTGCGAAAAAGTCTATGATTTTTATATGCAGATTTCGAAATTTTATAATTTGTTAAGTAATTGCTCCGATTTAAATTGTTTAAAATGAAAATATTAAAGTTGAAAGTTTAAGAGTATAAATAGTAATTTAGAAATAATTGAGAAAATATCTAATATTTTAAAAAATAATGGAAGTCAGTGTATAAATTATTATGTAAGCAAATCAATAATTCTAATCGATTGAATAATTACAATGAAAAAAATTTATAAAAGTTAATTAACTAAAGGAATCTAAAAGTAAACATACTCAATCCAAAAATTTTATAAAATTAACCAAATTGTTTATTCATTTTTATATTTATTTATGAAGATATTTTGAGTGGTAATATATCTAATTAAAAGAATCAAAGAATATAATTGATGATAATATTCAAAATATTGCACCTAAATACAAACCATTTGAAATTATGGATAAATTTATGCAAGATAACATCAAATATAACTTTTTGATTTTATTTAAATTAAAAATATGATCAAGTAAGCATACAAATAATTTAGATTCAAAAGAATTAGTAAATAGAATTGAAAAGAAGTAAAATAATTCATATTACAAATAGAATATGGATAGATTTCATTAAATAATAGATTAACTAGTTCTGAGATTAATATTCTCGTACTTCAAGAGAATTATTAAATAATTGAATTAATATTATATTAGCAGATATTTAAATTAATCAAGTAACTAATCTTAAATTAGACATTATTAATCAATTGCCAATTTAAGATAAATTAACAAATATTCAAATTTTAATAAGAATGCAATAACAAATACGTAAATTTCTATAAAAAAATTTAAAGCTAAATGATTATAAAAAATATTAAGAAGTTTATCTAAGTTGAGTCTAAAAATTACCCCAAAAAATTTACATAGTTATTAGATTGTAAATATGTAAGAGCTAATTTATATTCTATTACAATACAATAATTTCCTCTCACCCAAGTGCATTTAACTTCTTTTCCAATAAGTGATAAACATGTATTTAAATCTCCAATATAATCCTAAAAAGATTTCATATTTTATCTTGAACTACATCAATTTCCTGTTGAAAAGCAAGATATTTAAATTTAATTGCATTCTTCATCAGTTTTAAAATACTTAGGTGCATCTTCACAAACTTTCGGTTAACATGGTAAATCTAATGTAGAATCAACACCTTTGCAATAACCATCTGATCCTTTATACTCTTAACACTTCAACTCATTTCCTTGATATAAATCACATTTTTTTAAATACGAAACACAGAATTTTCCATTAGATACACAATTGTATTAATAAGCTTTACAAAGTTTAAAAGTATTAAAATAACCATCTTTACATCTCCTTTATCAACTAGACCCTCCTTAGTCACCTTCACAAATACCATCAATTCCAATAAATTTTTTGAATGTTATTTTATTTCCTAAATAATCTTAACACTATAATTTTCTATCAGAATCAATAAATACTTTTCTTATTGTTTTACATCCTCTCAATACTAATAACACATTTCATCAGTATTCAAATCCAGAGGTTGATTATTGCATATTCTTGCTTAACATGATACTTACTTTTTATAAGCCATTTCAGAATTTTTCATTTTCTTAACTGCAACTATATCATTTGATAATTTATTTTTACACAATCTTACTTCACCAAAAGCACCTCTTCCAATTATTCCTATTGGTTCAAAGTCTTTTTATGCTTAATTTTTATCTCGATAATCTTAATATTTCAGCCTCTTTATGAAGTAAGTCTTATTTGATAACTTATTATTCTATGGGGTGTATAATTAAGATTAGATAGTTTTTGAATTAATTTTTCCCATTTTTCTCTTTTTATTCATAAAGTAACTTTTGTTATTTCTTTTCGATATTCTATATTATTTTGCAGTTTCTACTCTCTCCTTAGTAGATTATGATAACTTTAACGTTTATGTTTTAGAAGGGTCCATTAAATATTAATTAATATTTTCAAAAATCCATTATTAGATAACCATATTCATTTATTTATACCCAATCCTAATAAGTTTTATTTACCTTATATTTTAATCCACAATTTTATACTATTTAACCTTTATATATATTTTGATTTAAATCTAAAATTTCATACTATTTATTTTCAAGAAAATAAACTCTTTTTTTATAAATCTACTCTTATATTTCATAGGATTTATTAAGTCTAATTTTGAGTATCATAAAAAATTAACATTAATTTCTAGATATTAAACAGTTTTATTAAAAAAAATGATTGTTTATCCCAAATTTATATAAGACTACTCTTAGACTTTATTTTAAATAATTAAACTCTATAACAAAATAAAGTAAAAATTAGACAATATTTTTAATTATTTAAACATTTCAATAATACGATATGGTTAGACATTTCTTAATCACATAGTTTTTAGAAAAAAATTATTTAAATTCAATTACGAGTTCTTTAAGAATAATTATAATTAAAAAATCTTATATATACTAAAAGAATAAAATATTTTAAGATCTTTGAAGATTCTTATATATATTAAGGAATTTAAGTTAAAATAAAATCAATAATTTATTTATAAAATATCATTAGAATTGAAAAAAAATAGGACCTACTTGGATTCGAACCAAGGTCTTGAGGGTTAAAGCCTCAGGTACTAACCACTATACGATAGATCCTATAGTTATTCATTAAGTGCTTGATTACTATATTAAACTCTTTTGATTATTAGAAACAAATTTATTTCCTTGAGAATTAATCTAACTAAAATAAAAAAAAATTAATTTAAATTTTTTATAATTTGTATAATTATTCATTAACCTTTAAATTTTAGATACCATTCTCCACTCATCTAATGTTCAAGATAGTACCAATTTCCAACAAATGTTTAAATTTATTCATCAAATGTTCCGTAATATATTAAGACATCACCTCCATGAATATCAGGTTCATCATACAGTTTTCTTGAAAATGTTTCAACTTGATTATCGTTACTAATAGTTATTGCCCCCATCTAATTCCAAGATCCATATTGACAAGATCCACAAAGATGAAAATTCAAAATTTAATTATTTAAAGAAACTGAGACTAATTTTACTTCCTAAGGAGCCCATTCATCATATTAGTTGTATGATAATTCAATCTTTTCTTACTACAATTTTTAAGCAAAAGAATTCAACCTTTCATTTATTTCATCTAGATTTTTATTTTGTTTTTACATAACAAGATATATTTATTATTATATTTTATTAAAACATTTGTAAATATATATATAGATATTTTAATTAAAATATTTATTTACTTCATACATTAAATTATCTTTAGATTATTTTTAAATAAATGTTACATCAAAATCAAGTTAAAGAAATTATCAGATAAGTAGACTTAATTCAAAAGTTCCATAATAAGAAAAATCTACTTTTTCTTCTATACATTCTCTTTACAGAAAGTGATAATTTTCATTACCAAAATTTGATATTATAAATAATTATCCTCAATAACCTATTAGTAGAGAACATATGATAAAATTCTTGGACTAAATTTTTTTTGCAGTAGAAAATGTATAATATATTTTATCTTAACGAGATAATCTGTAAAATTAAATGAAAGAAAATGTCGCTTAATAATAAAACAAATTCAAAATTACTTAAGAATAATAAACTGATCATTCTTTTAATTACTAATAATTACAATCTAAATTTAAATTTGTAAATAAAAAAACCTAACATCTAATAGAACTTAATCATACTATTATCATCATTAAATTATAATTCCTTAGTTATCTCTTTTATAAAATCTTAATTGTATTTTCTTAATCCAATAACCATAAGTGCACTATAAGCACCTGTAAATTCAATAGCAATATAAATAATAGCATTATTCCAAAAACTAAATTTATAAAAAGATTTTAAAAAGAATCAGCATCAAATGCTGTATTTATTTTTTTTNATTAGAAACAAATTTATTTCCTTGAGAATTAATCTAACTAAAATAAAAAAAAATTAATTTAAATTTTTTATAATTTGTATAATTATTCATTAACCTTTAAATTTTAAATACCATTCTCCACTCATCTAATGTTCAAGATAGTACCAATTTCCAACAAATGTTTAAATTTATTCATCAAATGTTCCGTAATATATTAAGACATCACCTCCATGAATATCAGGTTCATCATACAGTTTTCTTGAAAATGTTTCAACTTGATTATCGTTACTAATAGTTATTGCCCCCATCTAATTCCAAGATCCATATTGACAAGATCCACAAAGATGAAAATTCAAAATTTAATTATTTAAAGAAACTGAGACTAATTTTACTTCCTAAGGAGCCCATTCATCATATTAGTTGTATGATAATTCAATCTTTTCTTACTACAATTTTTAAGCAAAAGAATTCAACCTTTCATTTATTTCATCTAGATTTTTATTTTGTTTTTACATAACAAGATATATTTATTATTATATTTTATTAAAACATTTGTAAATATATATATAGATATTTTAATTAAAATATTTATTTACTTCATACATTAAATTATCTTTAGATTATTTTTAAATAAATGTTACATCAAAATCAAGTTAAAGAAATTATCAGATAAGTAGACTTAATTCAAAAGTTCCATAATAAGAAAAATCTACTTTTTCTTCTATACATTCTCTTTACAGAAAGTGATAATTTTCATTACCAAAATTTGATATTATAAATAATTATCCTCAATAACCTATTAGTAGAGAACATATGATAAAATTCTTGGACTAAATTTTTTTTGCAGTAGAAAATGTATAATATATTTTATCTTAACGAGATAATCTGTAAAATTAAATGAAAGAAAATGTCGCTTAATAATAAAACAAATTCAAAATTACTTAAGAATAATAAACTGATCATTCTTTTAATTACTAATAATTACAATCTAAATTTAAATTTGTAAATAAAAAAACCTAACATCTAATAGAACTTAATCATACTATTATCATCATTAAATTATAATTCCTTAGTTATCTCTTTTATAAAATCTTAATTGTATTTTCTTAATCCAATAACCATAAGTGCACTATAAGCACCTGTAAATTCAATAGCAATATAAATAATAGCATTATTCCAAAAACTAAATTTATAAAAAGATTTTAAAAAGAATCAGCATCAAATGCTGTATTTATTTTTTTTAGAAATAAAATTATCTCATTTTTTTATAACAGTTGTTGGATAAACAACACCACAATCATAAACATATGCAATATTAACTTTAGAATCAATAAATTTTTTTATTTTACATCCAAGTTTCCCAAATTATCTTTTGCTTCAGATATGTACTCCATAGTTGAATTAGCACCATCCTTTTGGGGAACTTAAAATGATAATTTAATTGTTTGACTATCTAGAGTCTTTATTTCAGTGCCTTAACCATTCTCTGTGATTGTGATATTTAGTTAAATAATATTATTTAAACTGATTAATAGTTTTATTATTTAAACATAAAAACATTAGATTTATAATACCAAATTTTAAGAACTAATCAATTATATTTGATGAATTAGAAACTTCATTTGTTTGATTGACTTTTAGTTAAGTTTAAAATTTAAGATTATTTAAATTTAGACTAATGGCATAATTAGACATACTATTTCATATTATTTAACAGCATAAAGGTCTTTTTATTATAAGTTTCTTACCTCAAACTGAAACAATTTCTGTTGATGTAGATTTATAAGCTTAAATCAAAATATTCGATTCTTTGGGTAGTAATAGGGATGGTTATATTGATTCTGAAATTTGTAATGTTGGCGATTAGATGATAATGTTATAAAAGTATTGTAAACTTTGCTTTTATAAATGGAATCTGGAAATCACTATTAAATAAAAAAAGAATTCATAGAATCTCTTGAAAGATTAATTGCTACAAAACCAAATAGAAAATATATACTTCTAAATATAGTTTTGATGTGTGTAAATATTCATTAAATAATTATTGTCATCTCTCAATAAGAGATCCTAAAGAATTGTGACAGCAAAAGGAGTTGATGAAATTAATTAATTTTTATATTTAAAATATAACTAATGTCAGATGATGAACAATTTTAAGATGATAATCAAGATTAAGAAGATAATCCTGATGAAGGTAAACAAAATCAACAAGATAATTATGAAGAAGGAAATCATTTTGAAGATGATGAAGACGCCTAAAATATTTTGATAAATAAATAAGTTATAATTAAAAGAATAATAACACTTTAAAACTAATGATTGATGAATAAGGATTAGAGAAGAATTAAAAATTAAGAAAAATAGAAAAACCTATTAACGGATCATGTTGAATAAGTACAAAAATTAAGAAGAAAGAAATAATCATTTAAGAAGTTTACTTAAAAAATTGGAAGATAAAGCTGAAAAATTAGTCTAAACTAATGATAGAAAATAAAACTTATTAGAATATTATTATTTGATAATATACTATATATTAGATAAAAATGGGAATTAAAAATAAGGCTTTGCTAATAAAATTGATTCAAGAATTTGTAATTCATTTATAATATTCTTAAGTGGATTTTTTAATGTTTAACGACAAAATGGGGTAATCTAATACTTTAATGAGAGAAGAAATCAAAACATTAAAAGATATGAAATTATTCTTGTTGAAAAATTGCATATGAAAATAGAGTTATAAGAAAAATGTAATTCATAATTAGAAGTAGAACTTAAATAATAATAATTTGATTGTGATCAATTAAATACTCTTAAAGAATAAATTAAATAATTAAGAGATAACCATACACATTCTAGCTCAAGTGCACATTAATTTTGATCTAAATATGAATTGCATGAAACTTCTTAACAAGCATTATTCAACCATTCACAGTCCTGAATAAAAATAAATTTAACCTTTAAAGTTATATGTAGTATTGAGTTTAGATTAAAACTTTTCCTTTACTAATTAGTTCATGTACTGAGCCAATTAAAATTGATATAATGAAAATAAAACTTAAGCTAATAAATTAAATTAATTTTGCGTGATTTCTCTAGTTTATCATATTCCTGCGCCAACATTAATTGATAAATCAAAATAATTTAAAGCTTCTTCCAACCGATTACTGAACAATTTAGGATAATTTTATTTTAATTTTATAACGCAATACCTAAATGATTATTTATATTCAACTTTATTGCTATAACAAATAGAATTGCAATTGCCTTTTTAAATAGAAATATCAAATAATTTTTTTAAAAATAATCAAATTATTAAACATAGTATTAGTTAATAAAAATTAAATTATTAATTCAAAATGATTTTTCAAATTCAAAACATAAAGAATGAGTTGAAAATATCAACTAACTGAGAATAAAACTATTATTAGAATTTGGTGGATAATAATAGGAATTCTAAATTATAATACTATGATTGATCTCATTAGTTGCCGCAATGTTCATACATCCATATTATTTAATATGATTAGAATTGAAATAAGATCCCTAATTTTTAAGGTTTTATAGTTTTCAATATTTAAAAAATCAATCCATTAAACAATAAGAACAATTAATCTAAATAACACTACATTTAACATCAAAAACTAATTTATTTGAATTTGATTAAAATTAAATTATATACCTTTATTTCTATGTTTATTTCAAAATGGTTATAATTTAAAATATAATTTAAAAAGAATAACTCTAGTTAAAAATTAATTTTCATCTATTACTTTCCTTCTAATTAGAAAGTAAATTTCTTCAAATCATTTTAAATCAATTCAATCAGCACCAAAAAAACAATCAAATGAACCCACTGGTATCGAAACTATTTATTATACTTTGAAAAATGTGATTCCAAACCAAAACATTAAGTTCAAAAATCTATTCGATGATCATCTAACTTTGAAGCTAAAAAAATACTCCTTTAATTATATTCTAATTTTAGACTAAGGTGATATCAATATAAAAATTATTTGGCTTAGCTTTTCTTATTAGGAGTATTAAAACTAATAAAAGTAAAGTCAAATTAACTAGATTCTTTTTAAGAGCAACAAGAGATAACTAAAAGCCAGGTAAATAGTATTTAATCCTTGAAATGTTATAAAATTGTTTTTTTACTGGAGAGGTAATATTGATATTATTTTAGTTCAAAAATCTATCATTCAATTTAATCCATTTTCCTATTTTTCCATCATGATTATAATTATAATTTCCAGTTAATTTAATAAAGATTTTACTTCTCTAAAATTTTCCATAGCAGATATGACTATGAATATTGACAAAAGATACTCCATAACCAACTTATTTACCATTTTATTAGAATGACCCTTCTATAATACTTAACTATTCCTAATTTTTACATCTAATTTCCATCATGATATATAACCCACAGACTAACTTTTTAACCATCAATATTATTTTCACCCTAATGAAATGGATTAACACTAGCTAAAATATAGAGAAAAAATTAAAATTCTTTGATTTACTAACCTATTTTCCAACTTTTTAAGATCCTATTGTTCCATCATCAAAATTATATTATCCAACATCACTAAAAGGAGATTAATAACACTAATGATTTTTAAATCCTTTAATTTTAAAGCCATAATACTGGTATTTATAACAGATATCCCAATTACCAACATTTTTACCATTGCTATTGTATTCACCAATATGATATAAGTGACTTTTAGACTATATACTATATAGTTAAATATGAATTCTTTATTTATTCCAAAAAATTATTCCTTAACGAAGTTCATTTTCCAATCTTTTATCCTTATTCGTTATACTACTCACCATTAATTAATCACATCAATTATCTTTACATCACTTAGTCTTTATATAATATACCTAACATCCTATTCTCACATCAATTAATAATAACAATTGTAAAAGTTTAATACTTCTTATAATTTTAAAATAATCTCTCCAAAAATCTTATTTTTTTCCATCATTTAATTACAATCAACGCTAATTTTTCTTCCATACTCTCTTCCTA